CAGGAATAAATATTATATAAATTACTAGAAGTAGCAGAAATTGATAAATTAAATGTAATACTTGGGGGAAAAGATGAAAGTATTTATGAAAAACGATGGTCAGGATTGTATGATTGGATAAAGAAAGAGCGAAAAGAATAGACTCGAAAAGCTATGTAATTTTGAATATGTTCATTTTATTTTACTGTATAAACTTATAAATAAAACTTAAAAAAATATATCAGATTTGATTAACAAATCCTGCACATTTTTGGTTCTTTTGAAACCTATGAGGGAGGGCTGTTGACACCCAGTAATCTCCTTTACAATAAACCGATATTTCTCAATAGCTTTTTTGATGGACAGTGCTCTCAGAGAATACTGAAAAGAGCAAGTTATTGTGTCCTGTTCCTTATTATTTTTGGCTTGCAAAAGACCTTTCCTATCAATATTGTTTTTGGCTTGCAAAAGATCTTTCCTATCAATCACAGATGCCCACATATTTGCTCATTCTACCACTCATGCGGTAGACTGCATAATTCATTTTATAATGATATCCTGTTTTGAGAAGGTGGTTCCAACTTGAAGAAGCCTTGTCAAGCGAAACATGGAACAACATTGCCAGCGTGGCCCACAGGAGGACTTCATTGGGATCGCCGTTTTTGGATATCAGTGCCGTGGCTCGGTTGTTTAGTTTCAACTAGGAATGTGGCTTCGGTTTCCATGCTGATGGATGATAGACTAAAAGATCTCACACAAGGGTTTAGGTGTGCCCTTGTCCATGGACAGAGATATATACCCCTTTAATATGTTTTAACACCCAGGGGTCATTTCCTGCAGGAGCGCACAGGAGCGGAACTCTGGCAGTAAAGAGCCCAGGGGGCGGGCACATGCAACAAGCCCCACCCCTGCTCCCAGCAGCCCTCAGTCAGAGCAAGAAGCAGCCAGGTAAATTGCAGAGCCCCCCCCCCGGTCCAAAACAGTCCAGTGGCACCTTTAAGACCAAGTTTTATTCCGGTACAAGCTCTCCCTCCTCTGCGAGGACAGATCCGCATGTCCCCTCCCCCTCAATAGCTAGCAATCCAAAACAGTCCAGTGGAGCC